TTTCTCCAGGGGATCTTCCTGACCCAGGGATTGAACCCAACTCCCCTGCATTGCAGGCAGACTCTTTACCAGGGAAAGAAATGGCAACCCACTCCAGTATTCTTGCTTGGAAAATCCCATGGAGAGAGGAACCTGGTGGCCTACAGTCCATAGGGTCACAAAAGAGCCAGACACAAGTCAGCAAATAAGTAACAACCATATATATCTTTCCCTATTGAGTAGTGTAAGTTCCTTATACCTATTATTTCTTAGTGTTAGGCACCTGTCTTGTTTCCTCATATTTCTGAGTACTTTTGATTAACAATTATAGTTTATGAAAAAATTATAGATCTAATTTAGGCCTAAGATGATATATTCCTTTAATGTGGCTGGGGAGCTGGGGACACAGAAAGTCCATATTAACTTAATTAATTCAATTAGGACTTAGGACAGTTTGGAGCTGGGTTTCTGTTTCAGTGAAGGCCAGTCTCTGTCTGGTCTGTTCTTACTCTTAGGTTGGACCTTCAAGGTTCCAACAAGAATCTGGAGGGAGATGTTACTAGATATTCTCTTTGTTGGGGCTTGAACTCCAACTTCTGTCCTCTGTATCCATAAATCTGTAAAATCTCTGTTTATTCTCTCAACCAATTCTTCCTAAAATAACCTGACAAATTTAGAGCAAATCTGACTTTACAGATTGGTTATCTTTCTGGGTCTTTTCATTCTTCTGGATTTTAAAAACACAACGCTTGACTGACTTGATAGCATTTTGGTGTCTTTAGTTCTATTACAGGTCCCCAGCTTTTCTATTTGCTTTCAGTAGGAGAATTAGTCCAAATTACCTGGGCAGCCCTTACTAAATCCTGATTCTCATATTGTTTAAATAAAATATTTGTATGTTTTTTGGCTCAACTCTTTACAATATATATTGGAGTCAACAAAAGAAATATTCCCTTTGGTATTGTGCTTAGACAAAAGAACTGGTCCTATAGCTTATAGGTTCCATGACAAATTCAAGATGAGATTAAATTTATTTTGCTGCTTGGAAATTTTTATTTGGCCTCATTATTTAGTTTGTTTTTTTTTAAGCTACTTCACTCTTTCTGCTTTCAGAGAACATGTTATGCAAATTTAATTAGAAAATGCCTGTGAAAAGTTCTTTGTAAATATTTAAAGAAAAATGCATGTATAAGGTGGTATTACTATTCTAGAGTCATAATCATTTATCTTGTAAAAACCTTGTGCACATAGATTAGCAGCACATCTGAGAAGGTCTTGGTGAACTATTCTCTGCAGAAGTGTTGCGCTTCATTGAATGATGACAACTGATTTAATCAGACCTCCTCCTGGGAAGAAGGATCACAAAGTAAAAAATGCATAATGTTCATCTGCATGTGAAACAAGTATGATTAAGTAACTTGTCAAAATCATACACCTTATGCTCCATGGGAAAGGTAAAGCTAGTACACAGCAGCATAAACTGAATCCAGGACCCTCTGACTCTGACCCCACGGCCGAAAATAGAAGCAATAAGACACTGAAGATTAGGGAAAGTTCTTTTCAAAGACAACACTTCAAAGATTTGAAAATCAAAATGAAAAACTTCTCTCAACTCTTGAGTTTCTATGCTCAGAGTTCCTTTCCTGCCTCTCCTTCCCTCCTTCCTTCCTTCCACAGCCAAGTATCTCTGAGGGGAAAAAACTATATTGCTTTCATTTCCTTACTGCTCACTCATGTTGCATCCACTGTGGTATGATTTGTTCACTCATACATAAATCATGCTTGCTCTTAAGGGTCACAATGACCTCCTAGTAGACCATCTAATGGTTTTAGTCCTTCTCTGTTTCTATATGACATCTGTCATTCTCTCCTGTCCTCCTTCCCTCCAAATTCTTGTCCAACTCCCCTTCCCCCTCTTTTTCTCCACGCTCAGAGGATCCCTTTGTGAGATCCTTTGGATCCTCCCTCTGTTTGCTTTTTCCCTTTCCTATTTCCTTCAACAATTTCACTTAAAAAAAAAAAAAATATTTGCAACCATTGTATCTATTTAGGGACTTCCCGGGTAGTGCAGTTGTAAAGAATCTGCCTGCCAATGCAGAAGATGCAAAAGACTCAGGTTCAATCCCTGGGTCAGGAAGATCCCCTGGAGGAGGAAATGGCAACCTGCTCCAGTATTCTTGCCTGGAAAAATTACACAGACAGAGGATCCTGGAAAGCTACAGTGCAGGGAGTCTCAAAGAGCTGGACACTACTGAGCGCACACACATTGTATCTTCATGACTTTAAAATCTCTTGTTTATGCTCTCCTCTTAAACCAATTGAGCAATTTCAACTGCCTACTGATGGTTTCAGATTTTTCCAACCCTACTCAAGCTACCTGTAATTGTTCTAGAATTAATGAGGGCTTCCCTGGTGGTCCAGTGGTTAAGAATCTGCCTGGCAATGCAGGGGACACCGGTTTGATCCCTAGTCTGGGAATATCCCACATGCCATGGGGCAACTAAGCCCAAGTGCCACAATTGCCAAGCCTGCGCTCTGGAGCCTGGGAGCCACAAGTCCTGAAGCCACGTGCCCAGAGCCCACACTCTGCAACAAGACAAGCCACCACGAGACGCCAGCACACCTTGACTAGAGAGTATCCCCCGCTCTCCACAACCAGAGAAGGCCCATGCACAGCAACAAAGACCCAAACAAAGCGCAGTCAAAAATAAATAAATAAATAAATATATATATACATATTTAGAATAAACGAGAACTCAGGCTGGCAGTAGATATCAGTTACCTTCTCTGTAAACAAACATGGAGTAGAAGTAATGTAATCCTTTGACTTCCTCATGCCTGACATAAGGGTGCTTTGAAATTAACAGATCCCTAGAGCAGTGGAGAGCATACCATTTCAGTCTTCCGCTGAAAGACCACAAAGCTCCAGCCAGAAGACTCTTTGGCTGATCCTTCCACCTAAGTCTCTGATGCACAATTGCTATGCCAGTTTGTCTAATGATAGAATGGGGATTAAAAGTCAACTTCGCACCCTAGGAAACTGGTAACTAGCAGAGGGGGCAGAACTGGTTATGATCAATGCTTTTAGCACCTTGTGCTGTACTGTGCTCAGTTGCTCAGCCGTGTCTGACTCTTTGCGACCCCACGGACTGTAGCCCACCAGACTCCTCTGTCCATGGGGATTCTCCAGGCAAGAACACTGAAGTGGGTTGCCATGCCCTCCTCCAGGGGATCTTCCCAACCCAGGGATCAAACCCAGGTCTCCCACATTGCGGGTGGATCCTTTACCATCTGAGCCACCAGGGAACACCAAGAACACTGGGGTGGGTAGCCTATCCCTTCTCCAGGGGATCTTCCTGATCCAGGAATTGAACCAGGGCTTCCTGCATTACAGGCAGATTTTTTACCAGCTGAGCTACCAGAGAAGCCCCCTTTAAGCATAAATCAGTCCTTTTCCTTGTGGTTCAGATTTGCTCTCAGTCTCTCTCATTGGGCACTGAAAGGTCTTCCTTGATGAGAACGAGTCTCCCTGAACTTCATGAGTCACCAAGGTCCATGTATGAGGATCACTTTTTGTATATTATGGTACCTCACTGAACCGTATTTGAGTTTGAAGCACTCTGGTCTAAGATTATCCCTCCATGGGCACTAGCCTTACCATTGATTACATCCTACAATTGTTTGGCCCTTTCTCCTAAACTCTTACTCTGCTGGCACAGACAGTATTGGGATACTTATAATTAAGCTCATTAGGACAGGACATTAATGTCTCATATTCCCTTGTGCTCACTATTTCTTCTAGTATTACTTTCTCCTAGACACATAATCCCTGGATCACTGCCTCATGTTTGACAACTATTCCTCCATTGTTAGGGACTTCCCTGGTAACTCAGACGGTAAAGTGTCTGCCTACAATGCAGGAGACCCAGGTTCAATCCCTGGGTTGGGAAGATCTCCTGGAGAAGGAAATGGCTACCCACTCCAGTATTCTTGCCTGGAAAAATCCCATCGATGGAGGAGCCTGGTAGGCTACAGTCCATGGGGTCGCAAAGAGTCAGACACGACTGAGCTACTTCACTTTCACTTTCCTCCTTTGTTAGAACTTCAGTAAACCATCTACCAGGCTATTTTATTCTATCTCCATGGCAACTCTCATTGATTCCTTCATTATCTAGCTAAAACAAAGCACTCGGTTCTATCTCTCCTATCACTTGCCTTTACGCTTCCAATGATCTGTGTAGTATCTGTGCATGTGCCCCTGGCTTTCCCACATCCTTGCCTTTGTTCCGACTATTCCCACTGATAAGCATCAGCCTTCCCAACAAGTTTTATGCCTCTAAAAACCTATTCAGTTTTCAAAACCAGTTTTCTCAGCTGTAAAAATGGAATTTACAGTGATTTCATAGAGGACTACATAAAATAATGTAACTAAAGGAGGAGGCAGCGTGGCAAAGAGGAGGGTTTGGCAACCCATTCCAGTATCCTTGCCTGGAGAATCCCATGGCCAGAGGAGCCTGGAGGGTATAGTCCATGGGGTCACAAAGAGTCAGACACGACTGAGTGACTAAGTGCACAAAGCGTTTTAAATGATAATCCTTATTACTTTCCCCCTTAATATTATAACTCATATCATCCATAAAGTATTTTTTGATTCTCCCAGACTAGAAATGATTTCTTTCTCTCCTGAATATCATGGGATAGCTTTTCCATTCCTTTCCCCTGGATTTATCACTTTCTACATTACATTACAGTTATTTAGTGCATGCCTTACCCAATCATAACAGACTCAAAGCTCCCTTAAGTCAGGGGCCATTTCTTGGGCATCTTTTTTCCTTCCCCAGTGCATAGAATAGATAACCTTATAAATATTTGCAAAAGCAAATGAACAGATTCACCACAATGGTAATTACAGCATTACAACAATATTTACTCAAAAATTATATCTTGATGAAATTACAAATGAACAAATCCCATTATATCCACAAATTGCACAGTGAATCATTCATCTGGAGGGTGATTACCTGGCTCTTTTTGAGAACTCTGGCAGGCTCTGAAAGACAAGTGAAGACCTGAAGAAGGCAGTGTTGCTGCTCAGAAGTAAGAAACTGGGAAGAATGCTTGTCCCTGGAGACAACCATTTTCAATTCAAGTAAGAAACTGGGAAGAAAGGCTTCTCCCTGAAGACAAGCATTTTTAATTCCACTGTGAAATTTCTAAAATTCTTTTGGCTATAAGATAAGCCATTATTTTATCAACTACCAAGAAAAATGTCTAGGATAGGAAATATAATAAGAGACCCTGGCATAAAGCTGGAATTCCCAAGGGACAATTTCATTTTTCAACCTCAGCCCTGGTAGGAGAGAGAAAGAAAACTCCTCCCTGAGATTCTGAACAATAACTTTTACTCACATAGGTATGAGATCTGCACTCACACCACCAGTGAGTTGCAAACAACTCAGGGAGATAATCTAATTTAAAACGGTCTCAGGTCGGTAGTGACCCTAGTGGAAATACATGTTCATATAAGAAATTCAATCCAGGCAACATCAATCCTGTAAATTGCCATTGATCACAGGATGCATCTCAGTTTCAGAGATGTTAAATTGCAAAAAAAATAACCTTAAAATTGCTGTAATACATTGTTTCCATTATGTATTGAGAAGCTCTGTACAAAACTCAATGAGGGAGATAAAAAGTAAAAACAAACCTCTCTTTCTTTGACCTTTTGACTGGGACCAGTTGCTTCCCTTCCAGAGACCCGTTAGGAAGTACCCTTGCATTCAGAAAATAGATTCTAAGAGCATAGGGCATTTGAGGGTCTGTACTGGTCTCCCCATCCTGTCTTAATGGAGCCCATGTAGGAGACTATCTGGGATTAGAGAGGAGATGGCGAGAACCCATTCTCTAGTCCCAGTGGACTGACTCCTTCTACCTGTTAGTGCCTCAGCTTCACCCCCGAGAGGCTTCTTGCACTGCTCACCTTCCTGATTATACACCTGCGTGGCTGTCTTCCTTTCCCACCTCACAGAGCACAGCAGGAAGCAGGTCATCCGTGCAAGCATATTACATCACAGAGCACACCTTTGTATGTGTGTACACATACACACACACAGACTGGGAAGATTAGCCGATCACTTTTACACTACTGTGGACAAACCTAATTCCTAAAACATGACATTTCCTTAAATGGGAGTTTAAATGCCACCAGAGAGGAGGAGGAGAAGTGGTCCCGGTACATGGAAGGGCAGGTTTGAGTGAAACGCTACACTAGTGCCTTTGGGCAAGCAGATTTAGCTTGAGGACTTAGGTGCGCCATGGTTAGGAAGCAGTGACAGGGGTAGGTGAGACTATGCCCGAAACAAACTACTCAACTCGGTAGTTTTTTTTTCCCTTAAGGAAGCTCATGAGGATTGGTCACCAAATACAAATAGGATGTGCTTTCAGTGAGACTTGAGATACCAATCATACAATGTGTTACATGTATATGTGAATCGGTTTAATGCAAAACCATATACACGAGAAAGTTGTTTAATATTCTAATGAAGACTCACCACCATTGGTGTAGACTAGAGCCAATTCAGACTATGCACCAATATTGAGCAGTCGCCCCAGCTGTCACTTGCTGAGTCAGTACTAAGGTTTTATGTGCAGCCTGTTACTATATGACAGCACGAAATCTTGGAATTCACTAGAGCAAAGTAATAAAAATGCTCTTTGAAGATTTGTCTCAGGAATATTTGCTAATCAAACTCACCTATAAGTCAAGCAAGATCTACCCTTGGGCTTATAAGCTCAATGAAATATCCAAATAAGCCAAACTTTGTTTTTGAGTATGTTTGATATTTATAAATTATATGTGATATATAAGTTGACTCAAACCATAAAACTAAAATAAATTTTTCTCTTAAAGAAGCAACAATGATATATCTTAGTTTCAAAGTGTTTCCTCCTTAGGAATTGCCTATGAAGTTATTGTCTATGAAGTTAAAAATGTACATATGCATGAAAGTGAAGTGAAAGTGTTAGTCACTCAGTTGTGTCCAACTGTTCATGATCCCCATGGAGTGGGTAATCATTCCCTTTTCTGGGAGATCTTCCCAACCCAGGGATCAAATCCGGGTCTCCGGCATTGCAGGCAAATTCTTTACCATTTGAGGCACCAGGGAAACCCCATATATATGCATATGTACACATATATTTGGATATCCATATATATGGTATAGAATAGGTACTGTTCATCATCCATAGGTTCGATCCCTGGGTCAGGAAGATCCCCTGGAGAAGGAAATAGCAACCCACTCCAATATTCTTGCCTTGAGAATCCCATGGAGAGAGGAGCCTGGCGGGCTACAGTCCATGGGGGTGGGAAAGAGTCAGACAAGACTGAGTGACTAACACTTAACAATAGAGATAAACTAAAGGCCCAACACTTTTTCTCACCAAAATAGAAATTATTATTGTTTTACCCCTAAAGCATCTGGTTTTAAAACATCAGAATCCATTTTCTTTTAAACATTATTTTACGTTTCTTATTGTTATTTCATTTATTTTTATTTTTTGGCTGAGCTGTGCAGCATGTAGGCTTTTCATTCCCCAGCCAGGGATGGAACCTGCACCTCCTGCATTGGAAGGCAAAATCTTAACCACTGGCCCACCAGGGAAGTCCCCTTAATCCATTTTCAAGGGAGACATCTCTTTTGCTGATGAAATATGACGAGTAACTAGTAACTAGCTGATAAACAAACTGTCAAGATTGGTGATGTAATCATAGTTGTTTTATTTCTCTGGCCCTCTGAACCAGTTAGAACTAGGAAAGGTGATTCTGAGACAAAGCAATGTTGAATACCTCTAAGTCACGGAATTTAACAGAAAAAAATAATTGTTCCAAACTCTTTTGATTAAACTCTCTTAATATTATCCAAGGAATTTACTTTTTAACATGGAAAATTGATGGATAGAAATAATTGATGTTAAAAGAGTTAAATCTAGGTTAGAAAATATATTTACTCTTATATCCGAAAACCTCTTTCCCTATTCTGCTTCTATCCCTCCTTGTCCATGTGAAAATATAAAAATCCTGGTATCATGGGGCCCATACCCAAGAAGTGTGAAATGCTTCCTTACTGAGGAATAAGAAGATTATGTGAAAATACTTATGATTATGCTATGAATCTTGACAGTTGACTAACCAACAGAACTACCTAATTGCTCCTCATATTTCATCAGCAAAAGAGATGCCACCATTGGAAATGGATTCAGAATTTTAAGACTAGATGCTTTAGCGGTTAAAAAAATAGTTCCTGTTTTGACTAAGAAAAAGCTGTCCTGGCCCTCTAATTTATCCCTAGTACATTAACAGCAGCATATGATCAGCAAAATCAGAACTGGCTTCTAAAACCCTTGGAATTGCCTGCTTACGTGATGACAGTGATCAATGTCTTTTGTTATGTTAATTAGGTGACTTTTGGACCCATCTAAGGATGGGGGCTGGTTGCCAGGGGAATCAACCGTGTAATTATCAGGTTAGAACTTTCATTTCCACCCCACAGACCTCTGGGTAGGTGGGAGGGGCTGGAGATTGAGTTCAATCCCCAATGGCCAATAATTTAATCAATTGTGCCTAGGCAATGAAGCCTCTGTAAAAATCCAAAAGGTGAGAGTTTCCAAATACTTGATTTTGCCTGTTTCCTCTATTATACAGTAAGCTCTATAAGGCTAAGACTCTTTTTCTATTTCTATTTTTTTTGAAAACTTATTCAATGGAGAAAACAGAAAACTTTCCCCTTAAGGTCAGATCTTCATACAAGAAGGATGTCCACTCTTTCCACTTCTATTCAACATTGTCGAAGGGCAATCAGGCAAGCAAAATAAATAAAATCAAAAGCAACCAAACTGGAAATGAAATAAAACTATCTCTGTTAGCAAATGACATGATCTTTTATGTGGAAAATCCTAAAGAATCTGCTAAAAAAATTATTAGAGTAAACAAGTTTAGCAAGGTCACAGAATACAAATCAATATACAAAAGTCATTCTTATTTTTATATACTTGTATAAGCAAAGAATAGCAAGGAGAGATAAGAAATCCTTCCTCAGCGATCAATGCAAAGAAGTAGAGGAAAACAACAGAATGGGAAAGACTAGAGATCTCTTCAAGAAAATTAGAGATACCAAGGGAACATTTCACACAAAGACGGGCTCAATAAAGGACAGAAATGGTATGGACCTAACAGAAGCAAAAGATATTAAGAAGATGTGGCAAGAATACACAGAAGAACTGTACAAAAAAGATCTTCATGACTCAGATAATCAAAATGGTGTGATCACTCACACTCACCTAGAGCCAGATATCCTAGAATGTGAAGTCAAGTGGGCCTTAGAAAGCATCACTATGAACAAAGCTAGTGGAGGTGATGGAATTCCAGTTGAACTATTTCAAATCCTGAAAGATGATGCTGTGACAGTGCTGCACTCAATATGCCAGCAAATTTGGAAAACTCAGCAGTGGCCACAGGACTGGAAAAGGTCAGTTTTCATTCCAATCCCAAAGAAAGGCAATGCCAAAGAATGCTGAAACTACTGCACAATTGCACTCATCTCACACGCTAGTAAAGTAATGCTCAAAATTCTCCAAACCAGGCTTCAGCAATACATGAACCGTGAACTTCCAGATGTTCAAGCTGGTTTTAGAAAAGGCAGAGGAACCAGAGATCAAATTGCCAACATCCGCTGGATCATTGAAAAAGCAAGAGAGTTCCAGGAAAAAACATCTATTTCTGCTTTATTGACTACGCCAAAGCCTTCAACTGGTGGATCACAATAAACTGTGGAAAATTTGAAAGAGATGTGAATACCAGACCACCTGACCTGCCTCTTGAGAAACCTGTATGCAGGTCAGGAAGTAACAGTTAGAACTGGACATGGAACAACAGACTGGTTCCAAATAGGAAAAGAAGTACGTCAAGGCTGTATACTGTCACCCTGCTTATTTAACTTATATGCAGAGTACATCATGAGAAATGTTGGGCTGGAGGAAGCACAAGCTGGAATCAAGAATGCCGGGAGAAATATCAATAACCTCAGATACGCAGATGACACCAGTCTTATGGCGGAAAGTGAAGAAGAACTAAAGAGCTTCTCAATGAAAGTGAAAGAGGAGAGTGAAAAAGTTGACTTAAAGCTCAACATTCAGAAAACTAAGATCACGGCATCTGGTCCCATCACTTCATGGCAAATAGATGGGGAAACAGTGGAAACAGTGGCTGACTTTATTTTGGGGGGCTCCAAAATCAGTGCAGATGGTGATTGCAGCCATGAAATTTAAAGACACTTGCTCCTTGGAAGGAAAGTTATGACCATCATAGACAGCATATTGAAAAGCAGAGACATTACTTTGTCAACAAAGGTCCATCTAGTCAAGGCTATGGTTTCTCCAGTGGTCATGTATGGATGTAAGAGTTGGAGTATAAAGAGAGCTGAGTGCCAAAGAATTGATGCTTTCGAAGTGTGGTGCTGGAAAAGACTCTTGGGAGTCCTTTGGACTGCAAGGAGATCCAACCAGTCTATCCTAAAAGAGATCAGTCCTGGGTGTTCATTGGAAGGATTGATGCTGAAGCTGAAACGCCAATACTTTGGCCATCTGATACGAAGAGCTGACTCATCTGAAAAGACCCTGATGCTGGGAAAGATTGAGTGCAGAAGGAGAAGGGGACAACAGAGGATGAGATGGTTGGATGGCATCACTGACTCAATGGACATGGGTTTGGGTGGTCTCCATGATTTGGTGATGGATGGGGCGCTGGCATGCTGTGG